ATTCTACCGGGTGGACCTTCAGGCCTCTGCAGATGCCAGTTTTGGCCACACTCTTTGGGCTTATTGATAGCGGGGCCTGTTAGCTGTTGTTTGCTGACTTGCCCCCCATTCCCCTATTGGACTGCTTTGGAACGTCCCAGAGGGGTAATAACTTAACCTTGTGTCCTGTGATTCTTGTCTCACCCGTTTCCTGGAGTACATCACAGCAAACAGGACCCTCCCTTCTGTATTATGTGATCCACTGATAGTGGGAGGGGTTATGCAGGTCTTTGATTGATTCGCCAGTGTCCAATCACTGGAAGGTAGTTGCATGGTGCAAGTGGCTAAAGAATTGAACTCCCTGTGTCCTGTGACATAAGACACAAATCCCGTTATTCATGTTCACAGGGCAGGAAATCGCTAAGAAAAGAGACGACCTTAGACCAAAAAATCCTTGGACACCCGAGAAGTCCCACAAGCAAGCCTCTGATCTTATAAGATAAGAGAAAACGATTCCTTAGATACCAAACAGTCCACACACTCAAATGATTAATATCAGTATTCTGTATGACACGGGATGTGCATTGTTTTTCCGTTGCGAGTTCGGCATGGAGTAGGTGTGGAGAAGATGTCCTTGCAAGTTTTTTTGTTTCGGTATTAAACTATTAAAAAGGTTTTTGGAACTAAAACGTAGTGTTCTGTCTTGTGTGGGGCTTAAAAAGCAAAGAAGAAGATGGAACATGTGACCATCTGCCGGTGTTGGCCTCTAGGCGTCTTAGATATTTCAAAGTCAGGATTTCTGATCGTTTCACTGACTCACATTGCCTTGTCCTGTGTGTGGAGGTGGCCATCTTGGTAGAGAAGTGGGCTTTGCTTCTTTACCTCGGAGTGGCCCCATTAGTGACGGGCGGGATATGAACAGGAAGCAGCGGGAGAGGTGGAACTAGCACAGGTCAATGGAATGGAGGAAGCAGAAGCAGGGAGATCCTGGCACCGCAGGTTCTCAGGTACAGCTTCCTCTCCAACAAGGAGAACAGAGAGCAACATCACCAAATCTCACTCTATCTGGTGAGACCGGCAATCAGAGGCAGCAGAGCCTTAGATGATCTCCCATTGTAGATACCGGCGGTCAGAGGCAGCAGAGCCTTAGATCATTTCCCATTGTAGATACCGGCAGTCAGAGGCAGCAGAGCCTTAGAGGATCTCCCATTGTAGATACCGGCAATCAGAGGCAGCAGAGCCTTAGGTGATCTCCCATTGTAGATTGCGGCAGTCAGAGGCAGCAGAGCCTTAGGTGATCTCCCATTGTAGATTGCGGCAGTCAGAGGCAGCAGAGCCTTAGGTGATCTCCCATTGTAGATTGCGGCAGTCAGAGGCAGCAGAGCCTTAGAGGATCACCCATTGTAGATACCGGCAGTCAGAGGCAGCAGAGCCTTAGATGATCTCCCATTGTAGATACCGGCAGTCAGAGGCAGCAGAGCCTTAGAGGATCTCCCATTGTAGATACCGGCAGTCGGAGGCAGCAGAGCCTTAGATGATCTCCCATTGTAGATACCGGCAGTCGGAGGCAGCAGAGCCTTAGATGATCTCCCATTGTAGATACCGGCAGTCAGAGGCAGCTGAGCCTTAGAGGATCTCCCATTGTAGATACCGGCAGTCGGAGGCAGCAGAGCCTTAGAGGATCTCCCATTGTAGATACCGGCAGTCAGAGGCAGCAGAGCCTTAAAGGATCTCCCATTGTAGATACCGGCAATCAGAGGCAGCAGAGCCTTAGATGATCTCCCATTGTAGATTGCGGCAGTCAAAGGCAGCAGAGCCTTAGAGGATCTCCCGTTGTAGATACCGGCAGTCAGGCAGCAGAGCCTTAGAGGATCTCCCATTGTAGATACCGGCAGTCAGGCAGCAGAGCCTTAGATGCAGATCAGGATTTCACTGACACCAAGGCACAGGTTCTTCTTTTTTTGTCAGGAGGACCTCAAGGCCTTCATTAGGGTACTGCTTAGGCACCAAGAACTTTCCTAGGTGTTTACTAGAAGACAGCAGATCTTCAAAGTTTGAATTCAGGTCCACGTTGCCCACCCTTTTACTCCACATCCTCAGAAAAAGTCTGTAAATCCCAAAGAGCTGAACTCTGATGCCATATCTCCAATAAGATGCCGCTCAAGGTCTACTCCCCTCTTAACATGTTTCACCACAAACGGGCTTACTTGTAGAAGGTAGACAGAGGAATCATTTGGAAGAGGATGTGATATGAGCCACTCCACCTCATTGGAGGAATGCATAGAACATCTAGCCGTGTTCTAGAGGACGGGCCTGAGGGATCTCATGATGTTCCTGTGTGGAATCCTGGGAATACAGAGGACGGGCCTGAGGGATCTCATGATGTTCCTGTGTGGAATCCCGGGAATACAGAGGACGGGTCTGAGGGATCTCCTGATGTTCCTGTGTGGAATCCCGGGAATACAGAGGACGGGTCTGAGGCATCTCATGATGTTCCTGTGTGGAGTCCCGGGAATACAGAGGATGGGCCTGAGAGATCTCCTGATGTTCCTGTGTGGAGTCCCGGGAATACAGAGGACGGGCCTGAAGGATCTCCTGATGTTCCTGTGTGGAATCCTGGGAATACAGAGGACGGGTCTGAGGGATCTCCTGATGTTCCTGTGTGGAATACAGGGGAAAGGCCTGAGGGATCACCTTTGGTCAGAGCATCCAGAGGGATGCTGGGTCCGCTGTGTCCCTAAAAGCCGTCGCTGGCCCCTTCTTAAAAAAATGCTTGACCTTTAGCTGCCACGTTGACCCTGCGGCTTCGTCAAGTCTCCAGGCAGATCAGAAGTTGTGGGCTCGCTAGCCACCTGCTTGTTCTAGGTAGGTGTTTCAGATGGTAGCACAAGGCCGGGCTCTGTATTTCTGCATGTAATTTATCAACTTCATTAATATGCTCACACTTGGAGACTCGGATACATAGAGTTAGGACCACACTTTGCAGAGGTGCCTTGGCGCGGCAGTGTGGCTTCTACATATTTTTGGCCAAAAGTTTGTGCAACTAAAACCTCTGATTTTAACGCATACTGTTGACAGGGCTACTTGTTTAGTTGCAGGCTGGCTGGCAGGCTGAGGCTGGGGAATTTTTGTGTTTTGTATTTCTGTATTTCTCCATGGTGGGTTCCTTTCAGTACAGCATTGAACCCGTGAATATGAACAAAGGTGGGCCCTCACATCTAGCACTCCTTTTAAAGGATTTCAGCAGGAAGGCTGGAAATGGGCCTACCTCAGGATGTAGAGGACAGAAGCAGGTAAGGATAGGGTTGCCACCTGTCCAGGATTCACCCGGACAGTCCGGGTTTTGAATGCTTTGTCCGGGTTTCATGGCAGCAGAAACCCGGACACAAGATGTCAAGCAGACAGGGGGCAACCAAAATTAAGATAGCAGCTACTGGCCCCCCACTGAAAATAGTTTAAACTGTGATTTTTACATATGACTGTTTGGCGCTATTTATATATGAATAAGCTACGATTCTTTCTCCCAAAAAAATGTCCACGTGTCCCTAGAGTGTTCGGGTTTCGCTTGAAGAAAAGGTAACTTCTTTATCCTCTGGACACTTCATACCTCCCCTTTTAGGCCGGACCAGCCTGTATGTAATGCTCAGCTGACAGAACTCTGGACAGACCACACAGCTCCAGGTGCCCCTCTCTCTCCTCAAGTGAGCAGTTCAGGTTAAATATCTTTGAACTTTCTCAGGTTTTAATTTTGGTCTGCAACAAAATGGCCGCCGCTCCCCTATTCCTTCGAAGCTCTATAGACTCAGCGCCAAGGGAAAATGGCCCCATCTCCTCGGCAGGCTGACAGTGAGTTGAGGAGCGTTCGCCCTCTAGCGTTTACTGCAGGCATAAGCGGTTGCTAGGCAGCGCGGGGAACGGAGACTTCCTGTGCGTTCCACTCCTGGCTACCTGGTTGTTATAGCAACGCGCGCACGGGCAGTGAAGAGATGTCGAGGATCCTAATGGGGAGGAAGGGCGGCCATTTTGTTGTAGCCCAGAGGAGGAGGAGGAGCATCTGTAACAGTGGCAGAATCCTCCTGGTGGGGTGTGTGAGGCTGCAGAGGGGCTGCACAGTGAGGAGGAGGAGGAGGTAATGTCTTCTTCTTATTAACATATTCAAAGGGGATTGAGATGAGGGACAGGGGTCCAGGTCTCTCTGTGAACTGGGGGGATCATGTGACCTTTGGGGGTGCTTGTCACATGTCACAGCACTGGCTGCATGGTTATCCTAGGCCTGGCCAGCTGGACATCAGGGTGGTCACCAGGCTAACTGTGCATGGTTCTGATGCCCGCTATCTAGCCCTTCTCTACGAAGAAAAGGACACAGAGCATGCACGCACCGCCTTCTACCATGGTGCAGGGACCCTGCCGTGGTCGTTGCATGGTTGGTCGGCTTCGGGATTGGTTGGTGGTGAAGGTGCAGGCTCCCTCTGCCACAGTGCAACCCTACAAACCACCATCGTATGACCTGAAGGAGAATAGTAGTAAAGTTGCAGCATGCAACTGCTTTACCATATGGATGTGCAGAAATTTTACATCCACATGGTGGTGGTTGGGTCCTTTTGACCTCAATCTGATGGGCAGCTTCACTGACCAATAGCAGCACACTGATGGAGGAAGGCGATCTTCCTACGAGAGGAGCAGCCTAGAGTTCCCGGGGTGCTCAAGAGGATACCTCCACCTAGGGCCCATATATAATTTGTCCTAATGTCCAGTTCACTTTGAAGCCCACTGGTGGATAAGAATGGAACCTGAGCTGCAATACTCACCTCCTTTCCGGCACTGCCCTCCACAAGATGTCCTCAGTTTTCTGGATTGGAGGACATACTGTGAGTGCAGGGTCTCATGGACCTGCCCCCTGAGGCAACGTTACCACTTCACCCTAAACTCAATGTATAATGGTCCAGAGACCACTGATGACATCATGGAGGACCTGCCAAAGCCAGGAGAAGATCTGAGCAGGACCCTTCGTGTCATGTGACCGGTCTGAAGACTTTGATGAAAGGTAAGTCTATGAGATCCTGCCTGAGGGCTTCCTGGTGGGGGAGCTCGGGTCATGGTGGTGGCTTTAACCCTTTAATAAATCTGAACATCCTATGACTTGGCTCCTGACTATTGATCACTTTAACGTGACTGGACCCCCTTCCGTTCTGTGGCTCCCTGGGCTCTTCTGCTCTTCCCAGGACCACAGCAGAGGGTCTCAGGATGGCGTAGCAGAGGAGACATTAGGGGTACCTGTCACCTACATAGTACATCTTACCTTGTGATAGCAATAAAGTTAAGTAAAAATAAAAAATCCCTTATAATGGGCACAGCCGGTGTACAGACCCGGGAACTCAGCACAGAGATGGTGGGAGCCCCTCATAATGGATACAGCAGGTGTACAGACCCGGGAACTCAGCACAGGGATGGTGGGAGCCCCTCATAATGGGCACAGCAGGTGTACAGACCCGGGAACTCAGCTCAGGGATGGTGGGTGCCCCTCATAATGGGCACAGCAGGTGTACAGACCCGGGAACTCAGCACAGAGATGGTGGGAGCCCCTCATAATGGATACAGCAGGTGTACAGACCCGGGAACTCAGCACAGGGATGGTGGGAGCCCCTCATAAAGGATACAGCAGGTGTACAGACCCGGGAACTCAGCACAGGGATGGTGGGAGCCCCTCATAATGGGCACAGCAGGTGTACAGACCAGGAACTCAGCACAGGGATGGTGGGAGCTCCTCATAATGGGCACAGCAGGTGTACAGACCTGGGAACTAGGTTACCTCTGCCACCCACTTCTTAATTGAAGGGGTAGGCCTCAACCTTCAGGGCCCGGGACTCAGGGTGCTCTTTTGAATTGATCCTGGTAATATAGACAGCAGAGTAACTATGGGGGAGGGTTACCAGTGGATTCCTGTCAGGTGCATGTAGTTCTGAAAGATATTGTTCCAGTATTATAATTTATTGCAGCTTGATCCCTACCAAAGTACCACATAAGATGTCCTGAGGGGTGAAGAGGGTTCCGAAGGGTACAAAGATCTTCCCGAAGACGTCATGATGGAGAGAGATGGCCTGATTGTCATTAAAGTCGAAGAGGATGAAGATGATGATGCGTTGGATGATGATGAGCCGTGTAAGGAAGAGGAACGTTCTTCAGAGATCAGCTCAGGTGAGTAATAAACCCTAAATGCAGAGAAGAGTCCCAGATTCTCCTTGTTCAGTCACTACAACAATCTCTTCTTCTCCCCCCTCCTCTGTCAGTAGACAGTAATGGGGGGACGGAATGTGTCTAGTGGGGGGAGTCAGGAGCCATCAGCCTCTATTAGACTCCGGCTCTCCTCCCCACATCATGCCATTGAGATGTGACCAGTCTTTACCCGTTCTTTGGGGTCTCTCATACATCTCAGGAGGCTTCACTCTCATCTTTATTCACAGACAATGAAGACTCCAGTGACACTCAAGAATACTTTATAGCTGAGGAAGATGAACATGTGAAGGTTAAAGAGGAGGAAGTTCCTATGGAGATCAGCACAGGTGAGTCATCAATGGCTAACATAGAAAGGAGCTTGGCCTCCAAGTTCCTAGCTTGTAGACATCTGGCCATTTGTCCTTGGATACCTTTCCCAATATTGTTTGTACCCGGAAGCTGAGACCTGTTCATAGGGTAGCAACAGACCCGATTGGTTGGGTAAAAAGTAGGGATGATACTAGTATCGATATCGGTGCCGATTCCGAGTATTTGGCAAGTACTCGTACTCACCCAAATGCTCCGATGCCTAGCACAAGTACTTCCGGTATCAGGAAGCCGGGCAGCGCGTCATTACACGCTGCCCGGTTTCTCAATTGACCGGAAGCTCGCCTCGTGAGGTAAGGTTACCTTACCTTAGTATGTGCAGCCTGTCATCCCCCGGGGCCTCTCCAGCGAGAATGCGGCCTTCGTCCGGTACCCAGCCGGAGCCGTCCAATCAGGAAGCCGGGCGCCGTCTAATGACGCGACGCCCTGCTTTCTGATTGGCCGGGAAGCTGGCTTCATGCTCCCTCGTCATCTCATGACAAGAGAGCATGGAGCCGGCCTCCCAGCCAATCAGAAAGCAGGGCGACGCGTCATTACACGGCGCCCGGTTTCCTGATTGGCCGGCTAGACGGCTCCGGCTGGGTACCGGATGAAGGCCGCGTTCTCCCTGGAGAGGCCCCGGGGGGTGACAGCTGCACATACTAAGGTAAGAGGGGACTTTCTTGTTAATCGGGAAGCCGGGTGGCGACTCTTTACATGCTGCCCGACTTCCCGGCTAATCAGGAAGCCAGGTGGCGAGTCATTACATGCCACCTGGCTTCCTGAATGGGACTTCCGTTACTCGGTAATTGGTATCGGCGAGCGCCGAAAAAAAATTATCGGTACTCGTACTCGATACTAAAATACCGGTATCGGTTCATCCCTAGTAAAAAGTATTTATTCTTTTTGGTGACCCACTTTTTTTTTAAAATTAACTTCAGATGGGCGATACAGGAAGTTCACCGCGGAGGAAAACCCGGGCACTTCTCCAGAGGGCAAAGCAGGAGACGGTGGTTCCACAACCAGTTCAGCGACCCCAAATGTACAGCCGGTGCTTCCTGCTAACTATGTCTCACCGGGCCCCTCGACGCAAATCGCTTTTTACTTTCCCACCCCTGCCCCCGTCACCCACCGTAAATATCGCAAACGTCCCAAGAAGTTCCCGTGCACCGAATGCGGAAAAAGCTTTGACCAAAGGACAAAACTCGTTGCCCATGAGCGCTCCCACACGGGGGAGAGGCCCTTTTCCTGCTCCGAGTGCGGCAAGGATTTCGCACAGAAGGCCCACCTCGTTTCGCACCAGAAGATCCATTCAGGGGAAAAGCCCTACACGTGCTCGGAATGCGGGAAGAGTTTCATAGAAAAGGCCCTCCTAAGCCGGCACCAGAAGTTTCACGCGGGAGTGAGGCCGTTTTTGTGCGCCATATGCGGCAGGCGGTTTTTCCAGAAAGGCGACGCGCTTAAACACGTGCGGATTCACACGGGGGAGAACCCTTATCCTTGCACCGAGTGTGGTCAGTCCTTCCCGTACAAGGCCCGACTGGACCGGCATCTACTAAGCCACACGGGCGAGAAGCCTTTCTCTTGCTCCCACTGCGGGAGAGGGTTCGCCTACAAGGGTCTTCTTCTGGCACACGAAAGGACTCACACCGACGAGAAGCCTTATTCGTGCGCCGTGTGTGGGAAATCCTTTTCCCAGAAGTCCAACCTGGCCAGCCACGAAAGAACTCACACGGGGGAAAAGCCGTTTTCCTGTTCGGAATGCGGGAAGAGTTTTACCAGGAAGGCCACTCTCATTGGCCATCAGAATACGCACAAGAAGAAAAGTTTCGTGCAGCTGAGGATAAGGGAGGAGAGCTGCTCTGAAGCAGGGGAAAATACGGACATGTCGGCCACAGAGAGCTGCCCACCACAGCAAGATGGAAAGTAATCGAAGAACATTTGTAGTTTACTAGTACTTATACGTCAATAGGAGAGGAGAGGCCCCGCCTTTCTGTACCAGCGAAGGCTTTAGTGAACACTCAAAAGGTGACGGAGTAGCCTGGGTCTTGTATGTGTCCTTGAGTTTTGTTACTGTGGTGGCACTAGGAGGTTAGGTTGTGAGGTCTTGAGTGTGTAATCACATATAGACTTAAGGTGCCTCAGAGGGTCAAGCTAAGAGATTTCGCCCCCACCACAGTTTGTGTGCAGACCTTTTATGGTGACTTTAAGTTCTCCTACAACCTAACCTGCTTAGAAACGCCACGGTAACATGCTTATAGAAAGGGCAAGAATATTGCTGTTTGGCTATTATGGGATTTCTGAACTCTGTGCTTTAGGTAATGTAATTACAGGTGGAGCTTAGTGGGTTCATCACCCTTCAGCTTCTCGCATCCCTTGTGGAATCTGGCATCAAGGTCTTCCTGCCCTAGTTTCTTAGTCTTTGGCCTCGGCCACGCCATCCTCAGTGCGCCCGATTGTGGCCGGCTCAGTTGGCGGTGCGTTGAAGTGAATGGCACCGCAGCCATGCCCGCCGGCCGCACGGGAACAAAAGGCACATCAATGCTTGCGGTCCGGTCAGAAAAAATGCTGCAACGCCCCATAACAAACTGAGCCAGCCGCAATGTGATCGCACTGAGGATGGTGTGAACAAGGCCCTTATCTACCTAATTGCTATCTTCCTGCCCTAGTTCCTTAGTCTTCATCCACTAGCTTGTGGAATCCGGCACCAAGATCTTCCTGCCCTAGTTTCTTAGTCTTCATCCACTAGCTTGTGGAATCCGGCACCAAGATCTTCCTGCCCTAGTTCCTTAGTCTTCATCCACTAGCTTGTGGAATCCGGCACCAAGATCTTCCTACCCTAGTTTCTTAGTCTTCATCCACTAGCTTGTGGAATCCGGCACCAAGATCCTCCTGCCCTCGTTCCTTAGTCTTCGTCCACTCGCTTGTGGAATCCGGCACCAAGATCTTCCTGCCCTAGTTCATTAGTGTTTATCTACCTGCATCTTGTATCTCTTGTGGAATCCAGAACCAAGATTTTCCTGCCCTAGTTCTATAGTCTTTATCTACCTGCTTCCTGTATCTCTTGTGGAATCCAGCACTAAAATCTTCCTGCCCTAGTTCCTTAGTCTTCATCCACTCGCTGGTGGAAACCGGCACCAAGATCTTCCTGCCCTAGTTCTATAGTCTTTATCTACCCTCTTCCTGTATCTCTTGTGTAATCCGGCACCAAGATCCTCCTGGCCTAGTTCCTTAGTCTTTATATGTTCACACCTCCTGCCTTATTTATAATACAGAACAGAGAACCGTGGGGGTGGGGAGTGGCAGCCCTTCATAATGGACACTGTAGGTGCGGAGACGTGGGAACTGGACACAGAACTCTCACTAGTACGAGTTCCCGGCAGATGGAAAGCATTGGGTGGATTATCCATCATCTACCAAAGACTGAGATATCATCTTCTGCTCTGCTCCAAATGGTCTTATTCAACAGGTTGAAGTATACTTGTTGTTCCACGTAACCTACAAATCTAATCATTGAAGATACGTACTTTTATTGCCGTTACTTACGCACTTAGTCTGAGCATTGCTAGTAATAGAGTTTAGCAAACTAACAATAGAAAGAAGGTGACCCAACTGTGGGACGATAGTCTTAAATACCTTCCCACGCCTTTGATAGTCTGTACGACCCGTGGAGGGTCAATCCAGCCTGAAGAGGTGAATTCACAGTGGGCCATTCATGTGCTTCAGAGATAAGATCTCCTCATTAGTCCAAACATGACTAGCAGAAAATGAGAAGACAATAGGTGATTCTTCCACCACCGTCCTCCAAAAAAACAGTAGGACTTCAGCTGGTTTTAGCCATTAAGTATTGTTAGAAAAGAGAAACTCTGAAAATTATCGGCTAAATCTTTAGACCTCGACCAATAGAAAAAAAAGTTGACTTGAAAAATTAATTTAGCGGGCTGTGTTCCCGTTGCTCATGGTCCCAGTCGGTGAAAATTACCCAGACGAAATATCGAGAGTAAGGTGAGTTTTAATGGCCATCAAGCCACCGGCCACAAATGTCTTCCACAAATTTGCCTTCAGACCTGCATCTGCGATGGGGTTTGTAATAAGCTACTTCAGGTTGGTTCTTCCTTGTGTGGAAGGTTGACCAGAAGTCATCGATGAAGCCACCTGAGATGACAGTATTCCTGAAAGTAACACAGTATTGCGTAATGGGCTGACTCTCGATGAGCGGGTCTTGAAGGCATCTCCATGATCCTCATATGCAGGAAATAATTGCGTAGCAGAAAACACTACTTCCTGCTGGGACTGGTGTCGCCTTGTTGCAGTTGATGGGGGTCAGTAAGATTTCCCAGCATGCTTTGGCATGGACACTTGGTTTCCAAATGTGACTCCCTCCCCCCACGTTCCCATCATGACTGTCCAGGTTGATACCTAATGCATGATAACCAAGCCTTTTGGGAAATTAGTCAATGTGTCTTTAAGAATTTGTGCGTCCTCTTCGTTCATCCTGATTGGTGGACTCCGGCAAAAACCTAAATGATGAATCCGAAAAGGAACAATTTGCTCAATAAAGTCTCGGCTGTGGAAGCCCGCTCAGGTGGGGGAGCTGAACGTCAGACTTCCTGTCACACGCAATGACATTCTATCCAACCAGCTGTGGCTTCGAACCCATGGGCCCCACCGCCTTTCATTAGAAATTGGCCCTCGGTTGCTGAAACTGATTTGTGGCCTTCTGTGCTGGCCCAGCTCACAGAAGAGGCTGCTGCAGATTCACATGACCTGGGACATAAGCTTGCAGGTGTTCCATAGCCTGATCAGAGATAGCCTTGACTCCATCATTCAGCTCATCGGATGGTTTCCTCCAACTACCAGCTATTCTGTCTCTGATTGCTGTTAAAATAAATAAAGAGGACCTGTCTGTGTTTACCTTTCTTGAGTCTGTTCCTTTGTAATGCTTCTTCTGAATCCTGAGAATTTCATTGAAAGGAAAACTTCCTGTCCTCTAGTGGTCAGGTCGGGTACTGCGATGAGAGCAGTCTACTCGCATAGAAGGATCTTCCTGAATTTGCTGACCTGCGCTCTCCATAATACTGCCACTGTGTTGTAGGGTGAATCACCCCTCCAAGACTGCTATCGCCATGCCAAGAGGGTACTCAGTATGCAACCCCCCCAATCACAATGATATGGGGGGGGGATTTAGGAGTCCCGGGATCATTAGCACTCCCGGGTGACCAGGACAGAGAACTGACAAGAAGGGGATTTGTGTGCCACCTACCCACCCCCTCCCCTCATGGTGCCCAGTAGGTGGCGCACTCTTCCCAGGGCCCCATTCAAATAAACACACTGACATGACTGGACAGTACATTTAATATGATTTCCATGCAGGTTCCTGCTGTGTCTGCAATGGCAGAAATCAACCACAAGAGGGAGCAGAAGACAACTGACATCACCACTTATAGAGTGATACTGCACCACCACTCACTGACACTCCCCCCCTCATCGCTCTATACTATTGACACCCCAACCCCCCATCACTT